AGGGTAAGATGACAAAATTGACTGAACCCCACATACGGAAAAAATATGGGATGTGTTTGCAGTGGAGACACTATCAAATCAAATCTTAGAAACCAGCTCTCATGGGTGAGGCATTTCTTGTGATGGAAAACCAATGGGTTGATGACACAGACAAAGGCCATGCTACTTTGTTGCTCCTTCTAGATCGATCTGCAGCCTTTGATGATGCCATTCTGTTGAGATATATTTGGAGGCAGAAGTAGGTATCAGTGGGTGTGCCTTGGACTGATTGGTGTAGTGGTTAAGTGTGCAGACTCTAATCTGGGGGAACCGGGTTTGATTCCCCACTCCTCCACTTGCACCTGCTGGATTACCTTGGGCAAGCCCTAGCTCTGATAAGAGCTGTTCTTGAAAAAAGAGCAGTTTCTGTCAAGAGCTCTCTCAGCCCCACCTACCTCACAAGGTGTCTGTTGTGGGGAGGAGAAGGGAAAGGAGTTTGTAAGACGCTCTGAGACACCTTTGGGTAGTGAGAGGCGGGGTATAAATCCAATCTCCTCCTCCTCCTCCTCCTCCTCATTCATCAGGGACAGAGTTTCCTTTCCACTGGAGACCAGTGTGGGAGCTGTCTTGTGGACAGGGCGCAGTCTTATCGCCCATGTTATTCAACCTCTATGTGAAGCCTTTAGGAGGAATCACTCATGGAACTGGATGGGGAACCAAACTTGCTGAACTGGCTCAGTTCGGGTGAGGGCCTATTAGCTTGGTTTGGAGGCCACCCCGAACCAAACTGGACTGGTTTTTTTGGGTTCATACGCATTCCTGTTAGGGACTGTGGGCTACACTACTATGTCTAGTATGTACTGTTTGTTGCTGTAAGTATGATCCTACTCTGTAGTTTCTGCACCGTTTCATGTGCCGCACAAAAGAGATGGGGCACATTGACACAGAAGAGGGGTAGATTGATGGAGAAGACAGGGCAAAAGAGATGGGGATAGGTTGTCACTTTGTCGGGTTGGGCCTGGCCTTGCGTGCCATAAAATGTAATGCCAGGTACTGGTGACACAGTATAAAGGACAGAGGAGGCTAAGCTCCGAGTTGGTGTGTCCTCACTGCAATGCCCCATGGGTTGGATGGTGCAAAGGAAAACCTGCATGGGTGGACTGGAGACCCAATGGTGCGGCTCTGGGCAGACAATCCTGCACTGTCTGGAGGGGGGCAAACCTCTTCCCCAGGCCACTCCTGCTGCCAATGCTGTGAGCCCAGGCTCCAGGGTAAAAATGCGAAATGGCTGGGTGTTGTGAGCTCCCCCCTGCTTCCAAGCCACCATGAAAGGGGACTGGGAAAACAAGTTGAACTAACCATCATGCCTGCGGAAGTGAGAGAGTGGTGGGGGCCCAGGTGTGTGGCCACGTGCACAGCAGGACCCAGGCCAAGCAAAGCCTGATAAGCCTGATAAGTTGCTTGCGGGCCCCTTATAAGAGTCCTGGATGGGCCAGTTCCAGCCCCCAGGCCTTATGTTTGACACCCTTAACCTAGGGAGTTCCTGTTTTCCATGCGAGCAAAAATCCCTGCGTGAAAACAGTCCCAATGAGCTTCATGGCAGAGTGCAAGTTTGAACCCAGGTTTCCCCAGTTCAGTTTCAGGTATGTAAAAATTATGATACTGAGGTTTAAAGCACATGTATTGAACATATTGGGGGAAACACCATTGATATCCAATTCAGATATTTATTTCCTTCCTCAAAGCAGTGTGTTTTTGTAAAACAACAACAGCAACAAAAATGTGCTGGTACGTATAATATAAGGTTGCACTGATTTCCACAAATTCTCCCCTCAAGACTTGGGAGATGCCCCCCCCCCAGGTGCCAGTACTCAGTACCAGTGAGTACTGCGGTACTGCCACAAAAAAACCCTCCTGCCTAAAAACATTTTATCAGCAGTGGGAGGCAAAAGGGTTCATATGGGGGAGGGAAAGGAACACACACACATTCCCCCCCAACAGACAATAGCATGCCATTACATGTGTGGTGGAATGTGCCTGCTCTGGCCTACAGGCCCTATTCCAACCTACCCTCCAAAGTTTTCCCAACACCTGAGGGGCTTTTATCACTCTCCGGTAACCCTTCGCCACCATCTGATCTTTGCAGGAGTTACCCACTGGGAGGGTCAGGATTGCCAGCTTCCCTTTTAAGTTCTCAGGCCTTGCCTCTGTGTCTCCCACTACCCAGCTCCTGGTCACCAGGGGGACCATTTACTGCCTTGTGTATCCCTGGAGGAATAGCTACTTGCCAACTGACTGCTTTCACCCTCCTGGCACTCCTTTTAAAAATAGCATGTCCAAGATGGTAGAGGTCTATGTGGTACAGAGAATCACTACCAGCATCAAAAGTTATGAAGTATTTATTTAAGAGAAGCTGTTCACAAGCATAGTTTTAGCACAGCACCAGAATGAGCAAAGGATTAAAAAGAAACGGGTAAAATGCAATTCCTTAGCTTAGGAAGTTACAGAATTTTAATTACCTTCATAGAATCATAGAAACATAGAATGTGAGAGTTGGAAGGGACCTTGCAGGTCATCTAGTCCAACCCCCTGCACTCTGCAGGAGCATAGCCAAAAGATAGCCCTACATACCTACATACCTACAACATATCCGAAAGATGGTCGTCCAGCCTCTGCTTGAAAATGTCCAGCGAAGGAGCAGCACACCACCTCCCAAGGCAGACTGTTCCACTGCTCAACCACTCTTACAGTTAGGAAGTTTCTCCTGATATTTAGCCAGTAACGACTCCCTTGTAATTTCCACCCATTAGACCTAGTCTTGCAATCCAGAGCAAGAGAGAATAGATCCATTCCATCTTCTACATGACAGCCATTCAAATACTTGAAGACTGCAATCATGTCCCCTCTAAGCCTTCTCTTTCCCAAGCTAAACATACCCAAC